TCAAGACGGAAACTTCCGGCAGAAATCCTCCTAGATCGTCACATAACCCCCGACTAAAACTGCATTCAGTCCCTGAATGCTGGCTTGTCATCATCAACATGGTCCTCGAGAACTCGATCTTCTTCATCTGCATCTAACCATTCCTGTAAACGCATAGGGGGACCGGGCTTTGCAGGATACTGCGCATGGAACTCCTGTGCTTTTCTCGGTGCATGTTTCATATCACAGGCAGGATACCACTGCAGATCGAGGTCATGTCCTAACCACTGCACTCTGTACTGTAGCTTCCGGTAATGTGTCCTGACATCTAAAATCTTCTCGACCTCCCACTCGTCTGTCTCTCCAACCTGTATCGGCGGAGGCGGATCCACATGTTGTCCTTGTAAGGGCTCCGTTGTAGCTGCCTTTCTCAACTTACTTGGATGAAAGATGGGGTGTACTCGAATCGCGTCCGGTAGATCTATCTTGTAGGAATTGCCTACTTTTCGATGATCCTGTATGGTCCACTGGCTAGGTGTGAAAGCTTTCTGCTTGGCCGATCTTGTAACCAGTCTTTTGTTGTGATAAAGACTAAGTCACCAACTCCAAAATTCCTCTTCTCGACGATGCTTATTTGCTTGACGAATCTGCAATTGCTGCGACTTCGCGATTTGCTCCTTTGTCTGAGTCCAGATGTCCTGTAACTCGGAGAGCATTTGCACCGCATCTTGCTCGTTTGGAGTCACTGTCTCTTGGTCTTTCCAGTCAAACGTCATCGAAGGTTCGTATCCCCTTTCTACAAAGAAAGGTGATTTCTTCGTTGTGTCCTGGGGAAGAATCGAGGCTGCGAAATCAACCATCGGTAGGATTTCCGACCAGTTATCCTGGTTCTGTTCAACGTACGGCCGTAACCTCTGGGCCATATACTGATTTGCGATCTCGCTCTGTCCATCCGTCTGAGGGTGATGTGCAGTTGATAGTTTTCTTTTGATTCCAAGGATCCTACAGAATTCGGTCCAGAATTCAGAGATAAACTGACCTCCACGATCGGAGACAATTGTTTCTGGAATCCCTGTGATTCGAATGACATGATCAATAAACAGTCGGGCCATCTGTTTGGCGTTCGTATCTTTATGACAAGGGATGGATATTGGTCTTTTGCTCAGTCGGTCAACGACAACAAGGACAGCATCATAGCCATGACGATCCTTCGGAAATGATCGGAAATCCATCGAGATATGCTGCCAGGGTCTTTCAGGAACTGGTAGAGGCCGTAATAATCCCGGTGTGCGATCTCGCCAAGTTTTCGTGCGTTTGCAGATCAGACAGTTATCAACGTATCGTTTTACATCTGTTGCCCATCCATACCAGTGATATCTTGTAGATACCAGTTTCTTCAGTTTCTCGATACCAGGATGTGCGGTCAGCGGCTGACGGTGTATCTCATCAAGTAGTCGGGCACGAAGGTCTCCTTCATTAGGAACCTCAAGTCGTCCTTCGTAAAGAAGCAGCCCATCTAACAATGTCCATCGGGAACTACCTCCATCTCGCACTATCTGACGGAATTCGTCTAACTCTGAGCTCTGGCGGTTGGCTTCCTTTATCCGTTCAACGATCCCAATCGTCTCTGTTTCTTCTGAGTGAATAGGAGCCAGATGAGTTGGGTAGACTCCCTCTTCAAGACAGTCTTTCGAAAGCATCACAAACTGTCGTCCATTGTCTACACAAGGAGATTCTTTTCGTGATAGGACATCAGCAATAATGTTCTTCTTCCCGGGACGGTATTTGATACGAAACGGAACTGAGATAGGAACTCATTCCATCTCGCCTGTCGTTGGTTCATTTGTCGGGTTGTCATGAAGTACTCAAGTGACTGATGGTCAGTGAGGATCTCGAAACGATCCTTCTGGGATAGGCCTTCAAGTTCAGGTCTCCATTCCTGTAAAGCACGAACAATTGCAAGAAGCTCTTTGTCACGTACTTCATAGTTCAATTCTGCGGGTTGCATAGTCTTCGAGTAGAACGCTACCGGGTGCCAGAAATCTTCCTGTTCATAGTACTGGGAGAGCACTGCTCCCATAACTCCATCAGATGCGTCTGTCTCAACTCGGGTTTGTCGAACTGGATCGTAGTGTCGGAGGATCGGTGCACTAACTAGCTTATTCTTCAGAGTTTGGAATGCCCTTTCACAATTCTCTGACCACTCGAACGGAATATCTTGTCTTGTTAGTCGATGCAATGGTTTCGAAATAGCACTATATCCCTGAATAAATCGTCGGTAGAAGTTGCAGAATCCTAAGAATGACTGTATTCCTTTCACTGTGGTCGGTATCGTCCATGATTGGACCACACGAATCTTCTCTGGATCCACCGCTATACCATCGGTGCTCACAATGAATCCAAGGAACCTGGTCTCCTTCACTGAAAATTCGGATTTTGATAGGGCCACTTGTAACCCTGCTTTCTGTAGACGACGGAGTACTTCTCTGACCTGTCGTTGGTGATCTTCGACGTTCTCACTGTAGATCAAGATGTCATCCACGAAGGCGACTGCATACTCGTCTAAGCATTCTCGAAGAACATCATTCATGAATCTCTGGAAGGTCGCCGGTCCGTTCGTCAAACCAAATGGTGTCACCTTGTACTTAAAAGATCCATATCTTGTGCGGAATGTAGTAAGATCCTCTGCTCCTGGTGTCAAACGAATCCGGTGGAAGCCTTGCTGGATATCAAGCTTCGTATAGATCTTCGCCTTGCTTGTTCGTTGTAATACCTCGTCAATCAACGGCAGGGGGTAGCAGTCTTTCTTGGTGATTGCGTTCAGTCTCCGGAAGTCAACACAGAATCGAAGTCCTCCATTAGGTTTTTTCGCCATTAGAATCGGGGATGCGTATGGAGCTGAACTTGGAACAATGAAT